AATTTTACCACTCCTAATTTTTTTTGTGTGATTTTTATTTTCAGGATATGTCACGACTTGTGTTTGTGTATTTTCATGATTTCAAATATTCTAATTGCCATTGCTTTAATGAATGAACACATTTGATTTTTGATCAGCAATGACTATAACTACTAGAAAACAAAAAACACTGGTGCCAAATATAAATTTAGATAGATAACTCTGGAAGGCCTCCTTCTAGCTTATGCGTTGGCTCTGATTTTTGAGGGTTAACATGCTCTTCGACTTCTTTGACAGCTTGAAAGATGTAAAGTAGAGTGACAGAAGAAAACGAAGGCTCTCTAGGACAGGGGCGTAGGTTAGAGAAAATTTAATACAAAGCTATTTGTGAAATAAGCTAGGTGCTATTTTTATTTTTGATCTGTTTTTATCAGTTTTCTATTTGAAAAACCAACCCCTCTCTGGCATCCAGTGGATATGGGCCAAATATAAAATGTTAAGAGGCCGTTGTTACAGTTGGTCTGCTATGCAAAACTTTTTTCCTAATAGAGGTCTGTGTGGATTGTGTAAAGGCTGCTCAGCGTCACAAGTGCAGCCTGAGTTTCCTTCATTGTAGGGGAAATTACGATAGAAATACGTTCCTTTCTATTAAAGATAAAGGGCTCCAACCTTGAGCCAGAGTTTTCTAATACGGTAGAAGCCATCTTATCTAGTATAATAGGGACTAGTGGATGGTCAGTTAATAAACAACACAGGTTAAAATTATTTTTAAAAAAGATACATATCTTTATTTTATTTGATGATGTTAATGTGCACTCTTTGGCTAGTTTTGTGTGTAGAGCCAATGTCTTTCTTTGAGTCCACATCCACCCTTCAGAGTTCCATGTTGCCTTTCTTGCATTAACTACACTCACAGTTCGGCAACCATAATTTCCAGTATTGGTTACAGTTACTTTAAATTGGAATAAGAACTTAGAGGTACTTGTTAAGCACTCTGAGGGCAGACTATTAAGATTTTTATGGTTGTTTTGCAAGGAGAGAACATTTTAGAACTTATTTTTATCTTTTTGCTCTCTTTTCACACTATTTATGTAATATTTTATTAAATTACACAATAATACTAACATACAATTAGTGATTAGTCTTGAAAAAAGATACAGCTCAACAGTCATGAATGTTCCTTGGTACCAGTCAGTGAGTTTTATAGAAGAAATGGGAAAGTTCATTTAATCAGTTTCTACTCTACATGGATATCTAAACATTTGATAACTCTCAGTAGGGCCTAAATTTTATTGTGGGTTACCATCATAAACTTCAGCTGAGCAAAATATGGTCCTTTTCTTTTGATAAGCTAGTCTCCAATGCTTTTGTTTTCTTAGAAAGAGAAGAAACATAACTTGGAATGCTGTGTTATGTACTAGTACTTTGCTGGTTTCTATCAGAGTGCTTGGAAGAGAGAATTGGGAGAATTGTATGAAAGTAGCATATTTTCTTGTGTACAATATTGCATAACATTAGAAAATGGATGTTTTATTTTCACAGTGAAATGTTTTGGTATTTCTCCCCACTCCCCACCCCCAAGTTTCTCTAGCTTCTTCTGGGAATAAGAGTAACAACACATTGATTATAATATTTGTCCACATGATTTCATTCCAGAGAAAATATGGTATCTAAGCCCTGTGGATAGTCTGATAAAGACATTTCAGGAGTCCATTTGAAGATGTCTTAAAATTAGTGACAGTTTTGAATGACAGTGCCAGAGTATATTTCTCTCTATGGTAAAATTCTTTTTCTCCTATCCTTTTTATTTTTAAGTAGTTTCATTTTTCTTGCAGTTGGGTTATTTTTAAACGATTTAATTGGAGGGAAAGAAGTACGAATTCATCAAATTGTACCTCCAGGATTGAATTTCCTTCACTAGTTCCTTAATAGTATTTAAGTAAAAGGGGGTACGATATCAAGAAGACTAAATTATAAATATGATTTTTCTATGCTGTTAAAAAACAACAGTGCTGTCCTTGGTTAACCATTATGGAGATTCCGCTTGACCAAATACCTGTAGAACTGTTTCACAAATTTATAATTTAGTAATTTGCTTTAGGGTTAGGCTTTGAGTGACAGAAAATCCAAAATATAGGGGCTTAGATAAATTAGAAGTTTATTCGTCTTTCATGTGTAAGTTTCAGGGATCTTACGGTAGTTCCTTAATCATCAGGATCCCAGTCCCCTTCTGTCTTCTTGCTCCATAATCCCTAACTTGCAGCTTCCCTCTCATGGTCCAAAAGATGGCTGTTCCAGCTCTAGCAGTCATATCTGTCTTCTAGCTAGCAAGAAGGAGAAAAGGGAAGGAGGGAAGCCTTTCACCATCACCACCTTGAAGCAGTTGCCATTTCTCCTTACAGTCCATTGACCAGACTGTGTAACCTTAATTGGTTGCAAAGGAAGCTAGGAAAGAAATACGGTCTTTTTTCTGGGTGGTCTTGTGCCCAACCAATTATCACAAGTCCTGTTGCTATTTTAATATTATAGAAGAAGAAGCGCATATATTGGGTAAAAAAAAAAAAATGGCTGTTTCCACCACAAGTTAGTTTCCCTAACAAAATAAAAACTTGGATGTATATTCTTTAAAAGAAAATATCCTCTGTAGCACAGTGCTGACTACATGACAGGGCACTGTGCTCAGTAAATTTTTTTTAAATGAACAGTAAGAAACCAGTAAATATTTGTTGAGTGATTACAGCTCCTTTGTTTCTGAAAACGTGACTCACAGGATTAATGATCTAAAAAAGAGTAAGATGAGCACAGAAAATAGTGATTCGAGATTCTTTGTTGTGAGGTTCAAGAAACATTAATTTTGAGGAGGTGAAGGTGCAATGAAGTAACTACACTCCCAGGTATATAGGTAAGCTAGGTAGATAGAGAAAATATATATGCTATATTGAATATGTATACACTGATTTTTATTATCAGATAAGTGCTGTTAGAGTTGGTAGTATACCAGCTTTGGTTCCCTACTGTCTGATTTTTGGGCCTCTTGGTAAACAAGTACTTTAAACTGTTCCCCCCGTTTGCAAACCTTTAATAATTAGACACAAGGCAGGTTAACTGTAATAATTTGTATGCGTGCAAGATGTGATTGTTCTTTTTTCATAAATCATAATGTGGTTTTCAGCTTTCTGCTGCAAAAGTTTAACTAGTTTGTTAGAAATTTAAAAAGAGAAAGTAGGAGACATTGTGTTCAGAAAATCGTATTTAAAAGCAACAATTAGTATGGCATCTATATCTTAGCAGGAAACTCAGAATTAAGTCTGAGCCTAACCTTAACCCATGACCAGTGGAATTTGAGTGTGTTTATTTTTACAATAGCCTTAATTTGGGGCTTGCAAGTTTTTTGGTTTGTTTTCACATTCAATTTAGAGACCCTGAAGCAGTATTTTAATGATAGGAATTAAGCTATGTATAACTTTCATGGCTTGAAGATCAGCAAATTCTGTTTTTCCTTGGATATAATGTTATCTTTCTCAGAAATGAGTGATCTTTGTGTCTAACAATGCACTTAAAAAAAACAAAACAAAAAATTCCCTTGCTGCAATGCTGGAATTCTAACAGAACTTTACTCATCCTCTCTCCCCTCCCCGATTTTTAAAAACATGTTCTCATGGAAATATTGCCTTGAATTACACAAAATAGAAGCAGTTACTGGAAATGTTTTCTACACAATTCTGTTCATGTATATCAATTTCCATTTGTTTTTCACTTTTTGGATTTTTTTCTTAGTTTCGCTGATAATCGCACTTCATAATCATATCAACTTTGAACTTTGAAGTTGTGTTGAATTTTTATTGCTCTCAGCTGTATCAGATCCTACTTTTTGATGAGTTATTTTATATAGTAAATTTGTTGGATGAATGGTGAAACAATGAACATAGGAACAAGAAAATAAAGCAAAATGGGTCAAACTTAGGTTTTGGTTTATCTCCAGTTTAACCAGGCTCCCTTAAGTGGAAATGCTAATAGACTTTTTCTTCTATTTTCTGTGACAGTGCTTATGTTTTTTCTAGGAAGAAGAGGAGTTACTGAAAACAGTAGTTAATATCAAAGTCATAAGTCATTTATAATCAGCCTTAGAATGCCTACAGATGTACATACATTTTTCAAAACACTTATATTCTGCCTTTTCTGAAGCCACACTTCTCTTGGCTCAGTCTTACTTTCAATGCTTGTGTGCTGGAAATTAGAAACTTCAGATGCCCTATAAAATTTAGGACTATACAGTTGTGGTAGGCATATATTTATAATTTTTTTTAACTCTTCTACCAAACTGTATGCTTTTTAAGGGCAAAAACTGTACATCTACTTTACTATACACCTGTCACTTGCAAATAAATGTCTAATGCTGTGGTCACTTCAAAGGGAGAAGAGGAGGCTAAGCAGGTAAGGCTCTAGGCCTTGGCCCTGCTTCAGTCAAAATCTTTCTTCTACATGTTGACAGTTTCTTTATTCTACATGTAGAAAATTCTTGGGATAAGAATTTTGATGGGAAAAAACGTTTCTCTCCTTTTCCCTGTTTGGTGGATAGATACTTTCAGTATTTTGTGACATTTTCTGGTCTAGCCCCCATCATTTTACAGGACTGAAAACGGAAACACAGAAAGGATATATAGTCTTGTCCAGGTTTTATAGGTATTTCATGGCAGAATTAGAATTAAAATCCCTTGTCTTGACTGCTTGACCAATATTCTTAATAGTGTGCTACAGCATATGTGTTGTAAGAACCTAAGAGTTTTCCAAGATCACTGCACAGTGCCTGATAATGGTAGACACTCCGTAAATGTGTGTTACATGAATGAATGAATGATTCTAAGACAGTTTGTAGTTAATTACCTCTAAGCCAACTTCAAAAAAAACTATCATTTTTCATGACCCCAATGAAATATTGGCCTCTTAGAAATCCTGAATTTGGCCCTTTGTAGAACAAAGTCAATTGTTACATATAACGGATTGTTGTTTGTTAATTTTAGGATCACCTGCTGTTACCAGCTACCACCCATAACAAGACCACAAGACCAAAAATGTCAATTGTGTTACCAGCAATAAACATAAATGGTAAGTTGAAATTTAGGTTTATGAATAACCTAAATTTCTTTGTTTAATAAAGATTAACACAAGATTTCTTTGTTTAACCAAGATTCTCTGCATTAGTTCAAAGACATTTAAAATGTTCAGTTAAATGAGTATATATCCATGCATTATTTCTGAAACATTTTCCCACTGTTTTCACAAAAATATTATTTTTAAAATCCATTATTCTTTTTTTTTTTAAATTACTATATCCTTAAAAGAAAAAGTAGCTCTCTTTTACTTACAAAATTGGAAAAGCTAGCATCTTCACTGCTCTACAGACTTGCTATCTGGGACGTTTCTCATCATAAATGTAGTGTAAGAAGCTTCTGCTCTGTTCTGACAGTGAATTTGTAAATTAGATTTTTGGAACTCAAAGCAGTTTCCTGTATTACCTAAATATTGATAGAATCCTAGACCATGCCACAGAAGCTTATTTATGTTTAATTGAAAATACAGACGAGTTTGGTCTTGATAGTATTGCTATTGCATTTTGTTCTGTTACTAGCACTGGACATTAAGCAAAATACAAATAATAATATAAGACACAGATGTTAAGGCATAGTATACCTGCTTATAGTTTAGAAGAAAAAAAAAAAACACAAAAATCGCTGTACTCCAAAGAGAAAGTCACATAACTAATATGTAAGCTACTGAGAAATCTAGTGAAGGAGAGATTACTTCCAGCTGCATTCTTTGTGGAGAAGAGAAGTAACTCACTCCCATTACCGGCTGTGGATTATAAGTGAGCACAGTGTATATTACTGACTAATTGCTTTCTCTGACACATCATATTGAAAATTGGAGAGTTGGCCGTCTTTTTCAAGTTTGTGTATCTGAAAAAATGGAAGTACTAGTAAATTTTCTGTCTGGTAGTAAAAACCTCATAGTATATGAAGAAGATGAAAATGAAAAGCCCTTTGAACTTTTCTGCCGTTGAACCAGTTCACATCCTGATTGATGAATATAATTAAACCATCAAATACAATCATAAAACAGAATACTAGGACTTTGGGGGAATTCTAGATAATAAAATTTAGTCTTTGGGGAAAAAGTAGTATTCCTTGTACGTTTTAAGACCATAGAGGACTATAGAATTTCCTGCGCTGCATGTAGACAGCTTGTTAGGAATGCTTAGGAAGTAACTTTATAGACATAAACATAAATGGTTTTTTGTTAAAGCATAACAAATTACGGTATTTACTTAGCCTTACAAAGACATTCAGAAGTTTAAGAAAAATAACATTGAGAAGAAAGTATCTTTCTTTAGTAGACATACCTCTGAACTTATTCATGGAATAATCATATTACTACCTGAAGAAGAAGAAGAAGAAATTCCAAAGTGCATTTTATTACATTCCAAAGAATGTATTTAGGAAGTCTCATTTATCCTCAATCTACAGGTACCTAAGTTTCTCCACCTGAACTATAATAGACCAAAGGGTCTGCTTATGCTCAGAAAGGCTGTTTTCTAAGCTTTATCAAGGCAGAATTCACTTAAGTTTGTTATTCTGATACTGGGTTCTTATGCAAGAGAATGCCTGGTCTTATTTTGTAACAGTGAGCTATCTATTTATATTAAGCCAAACCCAACAAGATGATGTTTGACTATGTTTATCTTGGCCAGGTGACTGTTTTTGAAGAGGAGCCTTTCATGATTTGGAAAATCTAGTCATTAGAGAATCGCTGTCTTTTTAATCTGTTTCAGACTCTTTATAAATAGTCTTCTAAAAAATTTCCTTTTTTAGGATAAGTCCTATTAAAAAATTAAGATTCAAATTCAAGAAATATTGATTGAATATGTACCATGTTTCAAGTACCATGCTGCATCCTCAGCCTTTTCTCTGAACAGTCTCTTTATTTTTTTGCTCTGAAGATGCTTCTTAAATTAGAGCCTGATTTTTTTTCCCCTACCTCATGTACCTCAAAGTCTGCAGCAGGGTAGGTGATATCTTTGCTTCCCACTACAACTTTCAAATTATTTTTTGTTCTTTCTCCTTCAGTCCCCCTAACGTCTTGCAAATCTGTCACATCACAGTTTTCTCCTCCTACCCTCTTTGTTGCTGTCATCTGCTCCACCTTCACTGATGACTCCTCCACTGCCTCTGTCATCCTGCCTAACTTCAGCATCACATAGAGGCGTCATTTAGTACTTTAGCCTTTTTTTGATCCAGTCATCTTTTATTCCACGCCACCTCAGCCTCCCATCCACCTGGTCATAATCTAGACCTTACTGTCATCAATAGTAGTACTCTCTTTGAAATCTCCTTTTCAGGTATCCCACTCTCTGTTACTTACTCTCCTACTTCAAAATTCACACTCCACTACTCTCTTACCTCATGAGTCTACAGTCCTTTGACCTACCACTTTTCTCTATCCAGCACATCCTTAATGGCCACACATTCCTCCTTACCCAGCCTAAATTTTATGGTCCTGTACTGTCACCACTCTCTTGGGAACACCCCTTTCTTCTGGCTCCTTTCTTCTTAGGTGCCACTCTCTTGGCAAAACTGCTCTCTAGGTAAACCCGATTCTCCTCTCTATGCCTGCTCTCAAACAGCTGAAAATTTCTAGAAAGTATCATCCAGTGAGAACAAGTAGATTCACTTCGAATTTATGACCATTAATTTCAGAGGGGTATTTAATATTGCCAGTCATTGCTAGTAAATTCACTTTCCCTCTCTGAAAAAAGAATTTCTCACCTTCTCTTGTCAAAACTCCAACATCCTCTCTCCCACCCGTCAGCTGATGAACTCACCAAACACTACACTGAGAAAATAGATGTCGTCATGCAAGAACTACGTCATATTTCCACTACCACTGTCCCAGCTGCATCTGCACCCACAGACTCTGCCTTCCCTCTTCTTGCACTGAAAGGAAAGTCTCTTCCATTGGGTTCTAAATCCCAGCTTTGCTACTTACTAGATATGTGTCATTGGGCAAGTTAATTAACTTCTGTACCTCAGCTTCCTCATCTATAAAAGAAGATATTAGTAATACCTTCCTCTAAGAGTTGATGTGAGAATGAAATGAGTAAAACAGCTTTAAATAGTGCCTATTTTGGGGTTGGCTTCTGTGTTACTGCAATAATCGTCATTGCCATTGTCCTTAAGTCATCATCGCCAGTTCTAAGGTGATTTCTTCCTTTTGGACCCTGACTCCTAGCACCTTTCACAGCACTCAAAAGACTTTACTCCTGCATTTATATCATTCCTCTTTTAAACAGTTTCTTCTTTTCTACTGGATCATTCCCATCAGCATACAAATGTCTTTTTTTTTTTTTCCCGAGGCAGAGACTCACTCCATTGCTCAGGTTGGAGTGCAGTGGCATGACCCATGGCTCACTGCAGTGTCCCCTTCCTGGGCTCAAGCAGTCCTCCCACCTCAGCCTCCCAAGTAGCTCCCGAACACAGGTGCATTCCACTCCCAGCTAATTTTTAAATTATTTGCAGAGACAGGGTCTCCCTGTGTTGCCCAGGCTAGTCTTGAAACCAAGACCAAAAGCTCAAGTGAAACCAAAACCAAGGCTTAAGTGATCTTCCTGCCTCAGTCTCCCAAAGTGCTATGATTACAGCATGAGCCACTGCAGCAAGCCCAAAACGTCTTACTTTACTGTTATCTCTGGTGTAGGAAGACTTCTGTGACTTCGCATCCTATTTCTCTGTTACCCTTTAGAGCAAAACACTCAAAAGAGTTACACTCACTGCTTCTACTTCCTTACCTCTGATTCTGTCTTCTTTTCATCCTTACCAAGCTTTTGCCCTTCTACTCCACTGAAATGCTTTTGCAAAAGGAAGAGAATGACAAATATCTCGCCAAAGTCAAAGGTCATGTCTCACTGTCATCTTACTTGACCTCTCAACAGTATTTGACACAGCTATTTCCTTTTTTTTTTTAGTCCACCCAATTCTTACTTAAAAAATTCAGATCTATAGAAAAATTGAAAGATGAATATGGTAAATATCTAGAGATCCTTACCTAGATGTAAGCAATTGTTAACATTTTTTCTGTATTTGTTTTATGTCTATCTGTGTACACTCACCAGATTTTTAAAACCTATTTGAGAGTGAATTGCAGGCATCATACTTTACCCCTAAATATTTGAAAATACATCTGCTATGAAAAGGACTTTGTTACATAACCATAATAAAATGATCATACCAAAAACGTTTAACATTGATACAGTAGAGTTCAATATGTAGCCTATATTCAAATCTCTCCATTTTCCCCAAAAATATTCTTTATAACTTTTTAAGTTTATGTTCCTAAGATTATACATGACATTCACTCATCATACCTCTTTAGTTTCCTTTAATCCTGAAAAGCTCCTAGCCTTTTTACTGCCTTTCATGACATTTACATTTTAAAAATTAGACTTATTTAGGTGTAATGTACATACAATAAAATTCACCATTTTTTGTGTACAATTTAATGAATTTTGACAAATGTAAACCATTATGAAGCCACAATTTCGACCATGATATAAATGTTTTCATTACTTCAAAAAATTTTCTCATGCCCTTTTCCAGTCAGTCCCCTTCTGTACATTTTGACATCTCTTCTTTCTTGAAATATGCTGTTTTTTAGGCTTTCATGAAACCATGACTTGTCTAGGTTTCCTCCTGTATCTCCTCAGTCAGCTTATTCAGCATCACCTCTTCTGTGAGAATGAAATTTTGTCTGTTATGTTCACCACTTCCCACCATATTCCCAGCACCTGGAACAGTACCTGGTGCAGGAGACTTTGAAAGATGAGGCACTTTAATTTACACTAACTCATGTAACGCTGAGCTCCCAGATAAGTGCAGTTGACTGTTCTTTTTTCAAAATGCTCGGGATCACGTGGTATGAATCCATTGGTCAAAAAAGGAAAGATACAAAGGACAAAATTCATGGGACCAGAATTATTTCCAATTTTGGAATATTTGCATATACATAAGGAGATATCCTGGGGATGGGACCCAAGTCTAAACATGAAATATATC